AGATTTGGCTGCAGCCCCTCCTAAGGATGCCCAGTACTTCCAGTTTTAAGAGCTTTTTTTCAGTGGCTTAGAGCTTTGGCCAAGATGACTGGTTCAGGCCCTGATTTTCTATGGGGAGCATTTGGCACAAAACCTGTGCATTTGCAAAATTGTTACCAAAACTATCCAAAAATATTCAAGAATAAAAGCTGACCTAGAAGAACAGCAGCAGACCGGCACAAAGAATGGTAGGTGTGTGGAAAGCTGGAGTAAACAGATTGGAACTGGTGGTGAAGCCTGGAGCACGAGCCAGATAGGGCAGCCCGAGGCTGAAAGAAAACTGGAAGGGGACAGGTCAACTATGAAGGACCGTTTGGAGGAGGATCCAGCCCAGGTCACTTTGGTACCCAATTTACAAACAAGTTTCATTGGCCAAGACTGCCAGCCAGCCCAGGAAAAGCAGCTGGTCACTCTACAGCCAGAGCAGAGACTGATGCAGCCTGGATGTTCTCCCTTTTAGATCTGGACTCTTCACTCCATGGCTTTTTGCCATATCCAGGTCACAAAGGAACAAGTGAGTTACTGTCAGCAGGTAACAACCCTCCACCAGATCTCAAACGAAGCTTCTTCTAGAAAACTGGCTCCGGCTCTGGAGGACTGAGTGAGTCCTAACAGGAATCACTGCCTCCCCTTGTTGGCTTTTCACTCAGGAGGAGAAGGCCAAGCCCTGGAGAGGTGCTGGGAAGAGGGTGAGAACACGGAGCTGAACGTGGCTGCTGCGGCTCTGCAGGACAAGCAGCTGTGAAGTGACAGAAACGAGGGCAAGAAACCAGGGCCCAGCAAACTGAGAAGATACTGGTGGTGGAACATGCGTGAGGGGGATGACCAAGAGAAGGAGCAGGAGAAAGGCTGGGGGCAACCGTGGGGAGCAGGGCCCATGTGGATGTTCAGACCCTCCGGCAGACACCAAGGATGCTAAGGTGTAGAGGTTGGGGTGTGAGAGGTGGCTGGAAAAAAAGGACTTGAGGAGGAAGGAAGGAAACATGGGGGTTATGTAGAAAGACCTGGGATGGACTGTTTTTTCAAAAGGGAAAAGGTAATGGGTGGAAAGGGGAGAGGCAGTGGTTAAAAAGAGGAGACAGCAGAGCAGAAGCAGAACCAGGCACAGGGAGAACAGAGATACGAGAGACTTGGGAAGGGAAGAAGAAGGAGCAGAGGACAAGAACACGGTGATGCTCCTCAGTGTGCCCCCTCCTGCACACCCAGCCCGTGCCGGAGCATCCCGCTCACTCCTGCTCACGGGAAGGCAGCCAGGGCACTGCCAGCCGGGCGGGAATGCCGCTGCCCATCCGCTGCCTGGCACGGAGCAGTCCCACACCCCCACGGGGACTCGGGTGCCTCCAGTCAAGGGTCACGTTTGTTGTTAACAGGACCAGAAAACTACACGAAAAAAGGTTAGCTGGAGAAATCTCAACACCCATGTCCGTAAGAACTTCTAAAAAGGAAGATGGTGAATTTATGGTAAAGAATTTGACATCAGAAATACAAAAATAAAAATAAGATTAAATTTTTAAAAAGCACTCACAGATTTACGCATTCTCTACCATAAACACCAGGGAGTGGGTGAGGAGATGGAAAGCAACATTTCCAATTGCTAAAAAGGAATACTTCTGAAAACAACTCGATTCTGAGAGTCACTGCCATCAACCAGTAAGGCAGGTGGAATGCAAAACTCTTTGCATGCTTACATGAACACTTCAAATGGGAATAAAAATAAAGAAAAAGGGTTGGACAAAGTACTGAGGTAGCTTTTGGACACACTGCCATGGGGTACTGCAGAGAGCAAAATAGATTTGCTTAAGGAAGTTAGACATGGTGGTGGCTATTAAGAACAACGGTCTCGGTGTGGCCCTGGCTCCTAACTTTTGATTGCTGGCAACAAGGAGTTTGCAAGCAGGGAAAAAGGCCACTCTTGAGCTATCCTAACTTTGGCACCTTGCCTGTCAATACTGGTTGCTTTCAGAAGCAGTCTAGGCTGCTTGGACTGGTGCCCTGACCTCCTGCAATGCTTTTTATGTGGAGCAAAACCAGTAAGATCATGTGCCTGCAAATGCAAGGAAATGAAAAAGCTAAATGCATGAAAAGGTGGTGTCATCTTGGGGTCTGCAAACCCTTCCCGTGAGGCATCTCCTAGCAGGTGATGCCAGACGAAGGATGCTGGACTAACGCAGTGTGCTAAGCCATTTTCCAGCCAAATCCTTTTACATACAAGCAGTGCGAATGAGCTGTTCCAAGGCCAATATACCCCAAACTGGAGGGGAGGCTGCCAAAAAAAGGCTCCGTGAAATCTTTCCCTCGTGATATGCAGC